AGTTTAACCCCCAATTTCTCTCGCACACACTTCCAACTAGCTGTTGATTTGACGGCCATATTCATTAAAGAGCCTAAGTTTACATTCAATCATTGTAAAATAACTTATAACTACCTGTATCAAGAGCTAATTCAATTTGACTGGGATGTTTTATTCTGCTCTTCTGATGTTAATTATATTGTTGATGTATTTTGTACGGCAACATTTTCCAAATTTTTGACAAGCACATACCTCTGTATAAGAATTACAGTCATCGATACCCGCCTTGGTTTCACTCAGCTATTATTAAGAACATTAAACTTAAAGCTAAATTTAGGAAAAAAATCAACAGGTCTGCTTTTGTTGATGATCTACAAGAATTCAAACGTTTGCGCCGCTTGATAAAAAACCAGATTAAATCGGCGTATGATCAATATATTGAAAATATCCAGAATTCTTTAACAATTAACCCCAATGCTTTTTGGTCATACGTTCACTCCAAAAACAACACATCACGAATCCCAGGGATAATGAAATTTCAAAATAATTCTATAGATCAGCCTCAGGATATAGTAAACGCATTCAGTGAGTTTTTCAGCAGCGTCTATGTCACTCACAAGCCCCATAATAATGCCTCGCTAATTTATTTGTCCATTTTCATCCAATTGAGGAAAATGAAGTCGGGAAGGCCATTAAATCACTAAAGGATAAGATGACATCTGGTGTGGATGGCATCCCGTCCTTTATAATCAAAGATTGTGTGGAAGTGTTTTGTTGGTGTTCTAACTAGGATTTTTAATATTTGTCTTATAACAAAAAGATTTTCAGATATTTGGAAGATTGCTAAGGTCTGTCCAGTGTTTAAGTGTGGGGATAAGTCAAATATTGAGAATTACAGGGCAATCTCTATATTATTCATGTTCTCGAAAGTCTTTGAAATAGTCTTGAACAGTCGCATTTCCACTGCCGTCCAGCGTCAGCTGTCATTGCATCAACACGGATTTGTCGCTAATCGCTCAACAACCACAAATCTATTTATAATAACGCAGTAGAAGCCATTGATAGTAATGAGCAAGTTGACGTTATTTATACCGACTTTTCGAAGGCTTTCGATAAAATTAACCACAAAACTTTATTAAGTAAGTTAGGTGCACTTGGTTTCACAGATGATTCTAGGGAGTTGATGGAATCTTACTTATCCGATCGTAGACAATTTGTTAGCTATAATGGCTTCCAATCTGAGACCTACTTGGCACCTTCTGGAGTTCCTCAGGGGCCCAACCTGGGACCATTACTGTTTTTGATATTTATTAATGACCTCTGTGACTCAGTTGAATGTGAACGCCTATGCTTTGCTGACGACCTAAAAATTTATTCGCAGATAAATACTCCTGATGATTGTATCAAGCTACAGCACCAATTAAATTTTGTGCTGTCTTGGTGTGTAGAAAACAAGTTGGAGCTTAATGTGAGGAAGTGTAAAATAGTCCGCTATACCAGGAAAATTAATGTTTGCGAATATCCGTACTCTATTGATGGGTCTGTGCTAGAAAGATGCTCTGATGTACGTGATTTAGGTATAATCTATGATCAAAAGTTAACTTTTAGTCAGCATATAAATAAAAAAGCTTCAGAAGCGTTGGCGGCTTATGGTTTCACAGTACGGAATTGCAGGAATTTTCATAACATAAAGTCTATTCAGTTATTATATTATGCTTATGTTAGATCCAAAGTCGAATATTGTAGTATTATTTGGAGCCTTTACTATGAATGATATAGCACAGCTATTGAAAGAGTACAACGGAAGTTGTTCTGTTTAGGATTGATGGGACATATAAGTAATGAGGAACTATGTAGTCGCTTAGACATGTTGACTTTGAAAAAACGTAGGTACTGTGCCTCAATAATATTTGGCTACAAAATGATCAACAATTTAATTGATTGCCCCATGATCCTGGAACAGATCAAGTTTCGTACTCCAACGTTTGCATCTCGCAATCATAAAATATTCGAGCTTCCTAGAGCTAGGACAAACATTCTTCTCAAGTCACCGTTATATGTAATGTGCTCTAGCTTAAACAGAATTGGATGTTACTGTGATATATTTACGACAAATGTTAGTTACCTGCTAAAGGCAGCTAAGGCTTATTCGGACCAATCGCTCATCTTACAAATTTATACCTGTGTTGCATTTGTTGTTTTCTTTTCGCTTTTTTTTTCGCTTTTTTTTTGCTTTTGTATTATGTTTATAAATTGTCCTATAAATGGGAAACTGTTGGACAATAAAGCTATTATTATTATTATTATAGATCTATTGCCGCTTTCTGTGCTATTCTTTAATGTGAGATAATGGATGATTGCAGATCAGAAGCGGCTTAATCCAATATGCAGGAATCCCCGTGCTTTAACACATGTGCGACGAGTGTAGTGCGTCTCATTTCGCGCACAGAGTCTCATAAGAGGTAGAAGATTTAGTGTCCAAGGAGCATACGCACGGTCCAGCAGGCGACTTGTAGTGGCATCGCACGATGTGTAGTGTTAGGTTAGAAGATTCACTGCCTGTTTTGCATATTTAAATTGCTTTTCGGACCATCGAGAATCGCTTTCGTTTGCTTCTTACGGCTGGACTGGAGGAACTTTTCTTTTTGCTGGCTTTACAACCTGGAATCTAGTGGGAGTTCGTATGGCAAAATTGTATTAAAATGTTTTTATAACCCTAATAAATCAAGATCGTATTAACTGCTAGGAATGATGAATGATGTTAACCTAGGGAACGCTTCTTGCAAATATTTGATTTGTAAACCAAGTATACAGGGTGGTACATTGGGATCTCGGAAAGGGTAAAAATACGGAAAAAAACGAATTTTCCCAAAATCGTTTCAATTTTTTCCTGACTTTATTTGTAGAGAAATTCAAAAAAATGCACACTAACATTGCCACTTTTTATCCGCTACAAGACATAATTACAATTTACATATGACGTTTCGTCTCTTGTCCTTAAGCATCAACTTTATTTTTTTCTTCTAGAGGCTATATTGGAATTTTGCACAAATGAGTTTTTAATTCTGATTCCAAAAATGTACTATACGCATACATTAACATTGCCAAATTCAAGTTATTTCAAAAAAAGCCTACCTAGGAAATGCTTGATTCAAGAAATACATCATGTAAAACAGTACCCGGAATTTTGCCTTTAATTCTTCCAGGTAAGATATCAGATTGGTACACTTGTCCTTAATTACCAAGCCACACTGTTAACGCCATCTGTTATTTAGTACACATACGTCAGCTGTCAAAGTCGGTGAATTTATATTTATAAATGTTGCAACAAGCCTTTAGTGAGTCGCGGTAAAACCTGGAAAATGGTATTTGAAAATCGTCATTTGAGCACTAGGGAGATCGGTCGTTAGCTTTTTTGATTATTTGATCGCCCAAAATAATATAGAGTCTGTAGTATGGTACGAACACCATCTATAAATATTGCTATTGTAAACTGTCGGGAAATGCAAATAGTAGAGGTAGCCGGAAATGCTGCGGTCTGCAAAGCAATCACCTCGCAATACCTAGTAACAACCCAACTAACAATTCACTTGACAAATTTTAGTTTTTTAATTGTATCTTGTGGGAAAAGTGCACTTCTTTGTTAATTTTGGGGCGCTGAATCCAAAAATGACAATGAATTAAAAAAATTAGTTGCGGTTTAGAAAAAAACTTTTTATTTTTAAGGATATATTAAAAAAAGTAACAAGATTCATATACTTATAAGAATCACTATATGCGCTGTCTTTTTGCTGTTCTTTGATGGATCGTTTCTGGAGCATCTCTACCAAGAGTCCAACAGTAGTCTGCAAGCATGGAAGGATTCCACTTTCCCTGGTACCTTTTTTCCATTGTTGAAATATCCTGATGAAAACGTTCGCCGTGCTCATCACTTACGGCTCCGCAATTGTCAGGAAAAAAGTCCAGGTGAGAGTGTAGGAAATGTATCTTAAGAGACATATTACAGCCCATCTTTTGATACGATGACAGCATATTTTTGACAAGGGTTTTATAGTTGTCAGCTTTTCTATTTCCTAAGAAATTAGTGACCACCAGACGGAAATCATTCCAAGCAGTTTTTTCAATACCTGTTAAAGTGTTTTCAAACTGTGTATCTTTCAAAATATTTCGAATCTGTGGCCCAACAAAAATACCTTCTTTAACATTTGCCTCACTTAGTCTTGGAAATTTCTGACGCAGGTATTGAAAAGCTGACCCATCTCTATCTAATGCCTTGACAAAGTTTTTCATTAGGCCCAACTTGATATGCAGTGGTGGTAATAAAATGTTTTTCGAATCTACTAATGGCATATGCTGTATATTTTTTTGACCTAGCTCTAGGAATTGAAAACAGGCCAATTTTGTCTGGTGTAATGAAGTGCCTTTGCCCGACTGTCCCATTCACACAAAAAACAGCAAAACTTTGTGTAGCCTAGCTGCAGCCCAAGTAAAAGTGCAACAACTTTCAAATCGCCACAAATATGCCATTGGTGCTTATCGTATTTTATGCATGCCAATAGGTACTTCATATTGTCATATGATTCTTTCATGTGAACTGCATACTCTACAGGAAGAGATGGTAAAATATTTCCAATATGCAATAACACTGCCTTTATACTCAATGTTGAACTATCTATAAACAATCTCCATTCTTCTGGGTTATACTTTATATTTAAAGCTGCCAGTAAGCCGTTAATGTTACTGCAGAAAACCAGGTTATTCTCTCAGTATATTCGTGGGTACGTAGATGTACAGATCGTCTCCGTAAATATTTGTAGTTTTATATAGTTATAAGTGCCACTTTCGTCCAGATTTTTGTTGTGCAGTCAGATAAGTAGATTGATATTGCATTGCAAAAGTGTCATGTCCAGTTCTGCTGGGGTGATGATGTTGTGATTAATTATATGTATCACTCGAATTCTGAGGATAATTTGGTGCTAAAGTGACGAGCAGATAGCTGTTTATTTTTTTTTGTGAACCAGTGGCGTACGCCCAGTTCCAATGGTGCAGGGAGCGGTATGTCGGGGAAAAATAAACCGCCAGACATAGAAAGAAGATGTGAAGTGTGTGATGAGGAGATCCGTAAAGGAGGTGCTAAGGTAATGTGTAGCAATGTAAGCTGCGGAATCACCCTCCATCAAAAGTGCTTTGCCTCAATTGCTAAGGTTATTAAGTTAGACAAAGCTGAATGGTTGTGCAAAAATTGTGACGAAGAAAGCGATTCTTCGATTAACACTGTAATAACATCTGATGGAGATTTGTCAAGGGAGTTAACTACGGTTAAACATGATGTGCAAATTTTGACTGACCTTGTGAATGAACTTAAACGTGCAAATGAGATTTTGTTGGCTAAAATTGAGCAACTAACAGTCAATAAGTCTCCCGGTGTACAAACACCTTATCTAATTAGGAATATATCTTATAGTCAAGCTGTTTCGACGAATGTGAAAAATGAGACCAAATCTGTATTGGTTATAACTTCAAAAAGTGATAAAGAAACAAACATGGATGTCTTAAAAAATATAAAGGCTAACGTTAATCCAGCAACTGAAAAAATTAGTATTAGCAGCACCAAACTTGTGAAACAGGGAATGCTCGTAAAATGTTCAAATGATGAATCTTTACAGAAACTAAAAGCAATAGTTGAGGAAAAATTCAGTCGTCAGTATAAAATAACTACACCTAAATCTTTCAAGCCCCGTGTCTTAGTTTCTGATGTGGATAAATCTCTTGATAACAATGATGATTTTATTCAGTCGTTGGTGCAAAACAATACATTTCTGGTTGATTGCGACATAAAGATAATAACTATGCTGAAGTTAAAATATTCTTTAAGTTATGTCATAGAAGTGGACCCGGAGGTAAGAAAAAGAATAATTTCTCAAGGCTGTTTGTACACGTCTTGGAGAAAATGTCACATCCGTGATCATATATCGATAATCAGGTGCTTCAATTGCTCTCGGTTTGGTCACCTAAAAAAAGATTGTAAGAGTAAACCCTTGTGTGCAACTTGTTCCAATGAACATGATGTTAAAACCTGCGAATCTAGTATTAAAAAATGCGTAAACTGTTCGGCATATAACGACTACATGCTGAGTCGTTCTAGAAACTATAAGCCTTCTGCTGTAGACCATGCATCATCAGATACCCAATGTCCATGCTTTTTAAGGAGACTAGCACAAATTAAATCCAGAATTGATTATGGCTAAATCAATAAAAAATATTTTAAAAATATGCCATTTAAATGTACGTTCTTTAACGGCTGACTTTAATGAATTCTCATCTCTTGTACGATGCAAGTTTGATATTGTAGCAGTCACTGAAACATGGCTCCATTCAAACATTGATAGCACTGCTGTCAGTATGCATGGGTATAGCTTCTTCCGTAAAGATCGGGGGAGTAGAGGGGGTGGCGTCGGTCTGTATGTTAAAGTCGGTTTTAATAGTAGCGTTATTCCAGTTGAGTTCTGTGATTTTGTAATTCCCCTGGAAATTTTATGCTGCAAATTTAAACTACTGGGAAAAAGTATGCTAATTGTTGTGGTATATCGGCCACCACATTGTTCTATATCTCAAGCTATCCAATCCTTAGAAAACTTGATCGCATTTTTCACACCCCAATATGATTGTATTGTATTTTTAGGAGATATGAACGTTGACTTGCTTGCGCATAATAATATCCTTAGCAGCTGTTTTGATTCTTTCAATTTCTTTCAAGTCATTAATGAGCCTACACGAGTTACAGCTTTCAGCTCCACATTAATTGACCCCATTTTTGTAAGTGACAGTACTATAGTAAAGAAGTCTGGGACACTTAATGCAGACTCGATTAGTGATCACCGACTTGTTTTCTGCGAGATCTCCATTAGTAGTAATAAAATAGAGCCCAAATTTGTAGCATATCGGGATCTCAAAAGCATTGATATCCCTAGTTTTAAGACGCAGATCGCTTCATTGCAGCTTGACGATATATATTACGTAGATGATGTTGATACTAAAGTCTCTATTTTTACTAACCGTCTTATGCATCTTTTTGATATTTACGCACCACTACATACAGTGCGAGTCACAAAGCCTGCTGCACCCTGGCTAACTCCTAATTTAAAAATAATATTTCAACTAAGAGATGATGCATTAGCAGTATTTCAGAATAACAGATCTGCACAAAACTGGGAATACTACAAGGATTTGAGAAACTTTGCTCTAGCATCTCTGAGAAGAGAAAAAAAAGCATATATGTCTCGTTTCAGTAACTTAAACTCTAGTCAAGCGTGGAAAGAGCTAAGGAGGATGGATGTGGTTGCACAAAAGCGTGTTGCGATACCGCCTAGTTTACTTGATCCTAACGATTTAAATAACTACTTTCTTTCAATTTTCCAGACAGCTGTAACTAATTCTAACTTGATTGATCGTGTTTCTAACAGCTACAGCAATAGGCGTTATATACCAAGTGCACCTCTATTCGTATTTAAACTGCTCACTCAGCAAGACATTCTTAACATAATTAGTAATATTAAGTCTACGGCCTGTGGTTCAGATGGTTTAAGTTTAAATATGGTTTGCTTATGTCTGCCCGAGATTATCGATTACATAACGCATGTTATTAATATCTGCCTTGAAAGTGGTTATTATCCAGCCAGCTGGAAAAATGCTATAATTATTCCACTAGCCAAAAACAATCGTCCAGAGCAACATTCTGATCTTAGACCAATCAGCCTGTTATGCTTTCTATCAAAAATACTAGAGAAAGCTGTCTACTCTCAACTGGTGGAGTTTTTTGAACAGAATAATTTATTTCCTCAATGTCAGTCGGGTTTCAGGTCTGGTCACAGCACGACCTCGTCGTTATTAAATCTCACTGACTCTATCATCTATAATTTGGATAATCACATCAACACCGTATTGATACTGCTAGATTTCTCGAAAGCCTTTGACATGGTCAATCACCAGATACTATTGAGTAAATTGTCTTACTATGGTATGTCAGATATAGTTGTAAAGTTCTTCGAGTCATACTTGCTTGATCGGCAACAAACTGTGAAAACTGAACAGGGCATGTCCACTACGAAGCCGGTTCCTTCAGGAGTTCCTCAGGGTTCTGTGCTTGGTCCCTTATTATATCTGATATACACTGCCGATTTGCAAGATTGTATAGTCCATTCAGCCATGCATACTTACGCGGATGATACTCAGTTGGTGTTTGCGTTTGATCCGTCAGAGGTTGACGAGGTTTCTTTCAAAATCAATTTGGACATGACTAACGTGAACGATTATTGCAAGAAACACTGTCTTAAAATAAATCCTAAGAAGACTACTGCTATGTTGTTTTGTTCGAAAAATTCATATCCAGTTGTGAAGGAGAGAATTAATATTGTGTTGGATCAAACACTCATCCCTCTTGTTGACTATACTAAAAACCTCGGAATAACTCTCGACAAAAACATGAGGTTTGATCATCACGTTTCATATTTGTCGAGAGTAACGTATATGCGCTTGAAACTTCTACATTCAAGTCGACATATTTTAAATTTTAAAACCCGTAAAAAGCTTTGCGAAACTCTTGTATTGTCAATTATATCTTATTCTCTTGTCCTCTATTATCCATGTTTAGATTATAATAACAAATGTAAGCTTCAGAAAATTCAAAACAGCTGCTGTAGGTTTATATTTGGTCTCCGTAGGTTCAGTCACGTTTCGGATAAAATCAGAGAACTCAACTGGCTGAAAATTGATAAACTATTTTTATATCTATTGAACGTCTTAACTCATAAAGTTCTGCTAACAAACAGACCGGCCTATCTTTTTAGCAAATTGATACCTCGTGGTAACTTCGTACCAAGGACTCTTAGATTTAATATTAATTTTAATATGCCGCTCCACAACACTTTTATCTTTGAAAGGAGTTATACCTATAATGCTGTTAAACATTACAATGCTCTTAACCATTCGCATCGATCCAAGCCAGTTTTTTCTTTTAAGAAATTAATGAAAAATCAGTTGCTGGAGACAAGTTAGTTCTCTGTGTTTATATATGTATATGATTGTCTTTTCCTGATTGTTTTGTGTATCTGTCGTTCATTTAATGAAACTATGTTTTTTTTTTTTCTTAATTACTTTTTTTTTTTTTTTTTTTGTAACATGTGTATGTATTTTTCTTTCTTTTTTCTCTGCTTTGGGGTTAAGTGGAGGAGTAGCCGTCTGGCTAAACTTCGCCTCACTGCAGATAATAAAGGCATTATTATTATTATTATTATATTGAAAAATGGTTCTAAGTCTTTGTGGCGTTTACGAAAAACACATACCGAAACATCGTCTTCTAACAAGTTCCATTGCTGCAGTCTTGATCCAAGTAACTCTGCCTTACATTTTGGAAGTTCTAAATCTCTTACAAGATCATTTAATTCTAACTGTGTTATTTTGTGTGGTTGGTGGCATGACGTGCTCTGTATGAAATCAGAATCTCTTGACGTTGATGGCATATCTTCTTCCTGACGAATCACTCGATCGCCATGATCTGATTCGTTTTCTGATTTGCAAGTGTAGGATTCTGGGGGTTTTGGAATAGGATTTTCGTCACTGTGAGGCACAGGTCTCATCGCAGATGGTATGTTTGGGTAGTTAATAACCGATTTTTTTTCTTGGACCTACCTGTGGCTTGTCCAACACAAGGTACCATGCAAAAGTAACAATCATTAATATGATTTGTAGGCTCTCTCCAAACCATTGGGACAGCAAAGCGCATAGACCGTTTTTTGCCATTTAACCAGCTCCTCAGACTTGAAGCACATGCATTACATCAGATGTGGGGTGCCCACTGTTTGTCTTGATCACCTAGTTTACAACCGAAATAAAGCTGATATGCCTGTGTTATGAGTGGAGTAATAGACCGTCTCTGAGACGCAAAAGTCACATCACCACATACGTAACAAAACTGATCTGGATTGTTTACACACTTTCGAGACATCTTGCATGAACGCTGTCAGCCAACTGAGGAAAAAATGGCTAATATAAAACAATATAATGTACACGTATGTATAACGTAACACAATCAGGCCGATTACATCATCTTTCCTTGCCGAATATAAAAATGTAGCATGTGCATTCTTGTGAATTACAGTATATTAACACTGTCACAGCAGGAACACATATAATTACCGTATCTCTAAAACTTGAACTAATATTGAAAAAATAAGTTTCATTCCGGTTTTAGCAAATTAAAAATAGTAATATTTTGTTGATTTTATTTAGGATAGTTTTTGGCTGTTGATCAGTGTTATCACTCCTATTAGAGTTGCAAGAATGATTATACAGTATATTCCTTACACAGCATTGTATACTGTAAGAATATTGTCAAAACCCTCTTAGAACAGCTATATAAGCGGAATGGGCACACCTAATAGGACACTTCAGTCATTTAAGAGGTTGTATAAGGGCTGCAGGTAACAGTTATACAACAAAAGTGTCTATAGGACATTTGCGTCAGTGCAAGATTCAGTTTTTGTCAACTATACAACTATTCTGTTACGTGATTCTACTTTATTGCAACCAAACTATTTCTTATGTATAGACGAAGTGAAGAATATATATATAACTAACACAATACAGTCATCTTGTTTACTTACATATCGGCCATTGTGAATTTCATACACAGGTATACAGGTATATGATAAACTTCTACACTGTGATATAGGGCTATTTAATTACTTGCGCAGCAAATTTTATTCTGATTATCGTGCAAAGTAGTTACGCAATTTCTACGGGCTTCGTATTTGATTCATATTTTGATAATGATCAAAAGTATGTCTAGATTTTTAAGATGGAAAACTGCACTTATCTGCGTTATATCTTCCATAAATCCTAT